AGATAGTTAGTCGATCGCAGCTTCTGTATCTGAGTGCTCTCGCGCGCACGAAATTCGTTTTGCGCGGCCAACAAACAGTTGAATGTCTTGAAACTATTTAATTAAATCAATAGGGTCAAGTGGTAAATATTTTGACCCGCGTCTGATTAGTGAAGAAAGCCCCCGGGGGCAGACAAAAGATCGGAAGAGCAGACCCCAGAGACCCGCATGCTCCATCCCATGCCATACCATTGCATCCCATACGATCTGATCTGATCGGATTGGATCGGATCGGATGGGATGGGATGGAATGGGATCTGGAGCTCCAGCCGAGAGATCTCTGTGCCTCAATGATGATAGTCTTCTTGCAGGCAAAACTTCTGCTGTCGTCTGCCGTGCCACAAATTCATTCGCTTAATTGAATGAATGGCGTTTTAAACGGGAAATTAAGCGCATGACTTGGGATGACTCGACTTTGCCGGATGGATAGTAGTAGCACACATTCTCCAGGAGTTCGGTCCGGGTTCGGTCCGGGTTCGGGTTCAATTGTCAATTAAACGGAAGCAGCGTTTTCTCAACTTTGACTCTGCGTTTTCTTGGGAAGCTCTCCATGCGTTTCGCTTTTATTTTTTCGATCCCGCTGATGTGAGCCACTTGTGTGGCACATTTGCCCAACAGCTAACAACGTACTTGACAAGGTCGACTGTGGCGCGGCATGGGAACGGGCAGGGAAGGGGAGGGATCGCCCAAAGGGGCAGGGAGTCACCCCCAACGAGAGGGCAGAGTTCAGCTGCCGTGACCAAAACAGGAACAAGGATGCAATCATGAAAGGGTTCTAAAAAGACCACGAAATACCCATTAGTAATTCAGGTATGGCTGCAAAGTGTTAATTACATAGTAAGTTGTACGTTTAACTTAACCAGTCAATGCATTTATTTTATAAATTTATTTCCCCTAAAATAGTAGCTGAAATATGTTGTGATGCAGCTCATGAAGAAGTTTAATGATCCAAACTGTCCAACTAGTTTATTTCTCCAGCTGCACAATTTGGTTTATATGAGTAAGCCAAGGTTCCCACAGTGCGTTCATACCCCACATCTAACCCAATGAGTAGCAGAAACAAAGTCAACAAGGCAACGCCGTTCGACCTGGATGTGAAAAGCAAATGGCAGTTGGCTGGAACGGCGTTGCGCCACTGCATTTGCGGCTGCGACTGTGGCAGACACTTAACTTCAATTGAAATCAGTCAATTGGAATCAATGAGTCCATTTCGTCTGTTTCCCAACACCGTAAAATGCACGGAGCCAACGTATTGAAACAAACATTTTTGTTTCACACAAAGGGCGAAGATATAGAAGTTGGCTGGAGGAATCGGAAACCAGAGTCGAGTTAATGCGCCTTTTTAAGTGCTCAAGTGTTTTGGCTTGCGAAATGCACCGAAAGCTTTCCCAGGAAATTACGGACTGGGAAAAAGGACATGGGATTGAGGATATACTTGGGCAGCTGCAAGTGCCTAGCGTTCCCAAAAGTCACTTCCTTGCACAACCACAATTGTTTTGCCTATGAAAATATTATCCCTGCTTGTTTTTGTTCTGCTCGTATTACCCAAGTACTTATTGGCCAACTTCTGGCCAGCTGCCCAGATTAACGTAAAGACCATTGAGGCTGCGAGGTGTAGGCTTTCCAGATACCTTGACCTTTTCTGCTGCAGATGTCCTAGATAACTGTTGGGAAACATTGAGCAACTGGCTCGGATACTGGTTGCAATTTTTCTTTTTTTTTTTTTGGCATAATCCTCGAGGAGTGAGTTATCCTCCAAATGGGAGAGGCTATTCAGTCAGTGATATTTTGCGGGTAAAATTGCTGTGGTTGCAGAAAGCAGATTATCAAGCGATCCAATTGTTGTCTAATATGTCTGGCCTTCAATAGAAAAGTAGATCATAAGATCTTCAAGTGTTGGGTTAAATTTCTGCACTGAATAGAGGGCATTACATGTTACTTCTGGGCTAATAACGCTGAAGTGGCAATCTTTTACAATGAAATCCTAGGGGTAACATACAATAGGGAAGTAAACAAAAGCAACTATTTTAATATTATATGTTTTAAAAGAGATAATATTATGTCACAGTATTACTTCTATATGTAAAAAAAACTTGCTTAAAAATAGTGTATGGATTTTTATATTTAATTCAATAAACTCCGTCTGCATTTATGGAATATCATCACACCGTTCACGACCTGTAATTAATATACTGACGTATTTTGCACCCACTTCAAAGCTGAAATGCACAAAATGGAGGAGTATTAATGCCATTCCAATTTCCAGGCTGAGCTTAAATATCAAGTCACGCCCTCAAAGCGACCACACCCCCAAAAAAGTTCAACTCAACATCATGAGCATGGAAAAAATGTACAAAAAAACAAACTGCAAGATACAACCACATAAAAAGCGGCAGCCGCCAAAGTCATGAATTACAATGCTTAAAATCGCTCATTAGGAACTAAAATTTGTAAACTGAAGGCGATAAAGATCTGCTCGAAAGCAGCGACAGTCAGACATGGCTAAAGCGAACAATGGCTATGGTAAAAATGGTAAAAATAGAGGCGGGCGAAGAAAGAGCGTGTGGAAATAATTTGGTTACAATTAAATAACAAAAGAATTTGTTTGGCAACTCTTGTGCGCTTTTTGGCCAACAACGTTTGTATGTATGTAAGTTTGCCCCCCATTATGGCCAACACCTGGCGGCATTACAAAGTACTGTACTCCCCCCTATAAAGTCATTTCCAATGCCATTGTCCAATTGTTAGCGCTCAGCTTCAGCTGTCCCGCTCCAGATTAAGCTGCGACTATAATTAAGAGCGGAACGGGTCAGCGAAGGAGTGAAAACCGGGGGAATGGGTCACTGTTTACCATAACAATGAGCTGGCTGCAGGGAAAACACCTTTGCGTACACTGCGAGAAAACATTCCTACACAGCAGCAAATATAAGTTCCAAAAAGGTATATAAAAAAGGTTCCTTTAAAATGTAGTAGTAGTACTACTTTTGAGGCATTTTTCAATTGGAGGCAGTACTCAAATTTCTTGCCGTGCAGCTGCAGTGGAGAAAAACTTTTGTCGCTGTCTTGGGTCAGGTGTTAATGCCTGTGTTTATGGCCCAGGTGAATAGAGCCGACTCCAGTATATGAGGTGTGCAATTATCGTCATTAGTCCCCCAGTTCTCGCCTCCTTTGATCCACCATTGTTCCACTGACGTTTGCCGCTTTAGTTGCGGCTTGTTGTGTATCGATGTTGCATGCTATAATTTTGAAAATAATAAAATGATTTCTTCATGCCAGTCACACACACACACCCATCATAATCATCACAATCATCGCACTCATGCCGCGGACCCCAACTCCATCGCCTTCGTCATTATGCTGATGATCATCGGTCTCGCCTCATCCAATTATTACAGTTTAGCCATGCCACAAGTCAAACAAAAGATCCCAGGCCTGTCAGGGTTCCGTCAGATGTTCTCTCCTTCTACTCGCCTTTTAAAGGTTACCAAACATTTTTGGGGTTGAGTGGGTAGCTCGCGGTATTTGCCGAGGACCCGAGGTGTTAATAAGTGGGTTCACAATAGGGGATTGTCGGACGCTTTGCTCACTAAGGGATATATCTGACAAATATCTGAAATATCTGAATACCCTAGAACATAGAAACTCTGAGTGGCTGCAGCCTGTGGGCATTGCAACACTCCTACACGTCTAATGGGCTAATCAAGAGTATTACAAAACCCACAACAAACTGGCGCCACATTCAATCTAAATCAGAGTTAGCGCGACTCTCGGCGCACTTTGCGACATAGAGTTTCTTGAACTTAGGCCTCAGACACACAAGTCCCGAGTTAATTGAGTCAACTGCCTGTGACATCATGTGAATGTGAGCGAGAATCAGCTGAATACACGGGTATGGGGATAATTCGCTCAAGATGTTTATACAGACAATAATCCGTCGCGCAAGGCGAATAAATTGAAAGAAATGGGGAAAATGTGGGGGATGAGGTGGAGAACTCTGGAGGGCTCCTGCGAAAGAGAGATTTACGTGGAAAAGAGACAAACAAATAAATTTACTTTGATTGAATAATGGTCGCATAATTGGCAACTTGAATGGAATTGAGTAGCAGGCAAAACGCAATTGAAAACTGTAACAACAAATGCAGTTCGCAGGAATACGAGCACGACTAATATACTCGTATTAACTAAGTGAATTGGATAATCTCATTCGCATTCGCATTCCCATTCGCATTCCCAATCCCATTCCCCCAACCACTGATGTCTAAGATTTTCGCCTCAATTGAAATGTGCAACTGAGAAATGTCAGCCGCCAATTGTCGTCTAGATGGATGCGAATATCACGCATACGCCCCGTAAGTTGCAGTTGCACAATCACAGTTTGTTAACCCCCGCGCCCAGCGATGAATCACCACCTTGATCATGGGAGTGAGCAAGTGAATCGGCTAAAGATCGCGTTGCATTCAAGGCGCGCCAGACGGCGACTAAGAAAAATGAGTGGTTATTACCAGCCAGCCAAAGAACGTGCTTTTAATTTCAGCTAATAAATATGCGCTGGCTAGAAGACTCGAACGGCGCCATAATCTTTAGATATGTATACTTTTATACCTCTATCAAATTCCTTTCATTTGTGCGATATTTTTAAAGAGAGTTCATATCGAAATCAAACAAAATGCCAACAGCCAGGCATTTAGTCTTCTATTAATTAGCTGACGTTTGTGAGCCTGCCGCCAACATTAAATGTGATTAGATGCTCATTGATGGGCCCATAGAAATTCCTATACATATACCACAAATATATGATTCTGCCTCTCGGTTATTAAGGACTTCCTGTTGTCGGATTGCCGACAAGTTTGTCGCGACAACAGATTCATTTAGCGGTGGCTGCAGTTCAATTTAACACCCGCCGACCACAAACAATGCCCAATGCCCCCCGCAGATCTCATTAGTTTGTGCCTTTTTGTTTTTGAATTTTTATTTCAATTATTATCTTCGCTTCGTTCGGTGTCTAAATGTACATTAATATATAAATTAAATGGTGCTTAGTTCTTTGCTGCAGCGCTTAAGTATCGTTAATCATATTACATATATCGCGGATATGTGACAACAAGTTACCAACTCTGAAACACTCGCTGGGAAAAGCCTTTGCAGAGGTATTTCAAATCGGGTTTTTTAACATTTTCATGCTGCTATAGATCAGTATTGGATGGGATTTTATCGTAACGTAACAATACATTTATTGATATTAATAAGGAGTTATATTACTTGAATTATATTCTCATTTAGACAGAAGAGACAAAAGCTATTTTCATATTTAATTTTGATTTAGAACTTTAATCCTAGAAATACAATAAAAATATGTTTTCATACCGATCGATTATAATAACCCTAGTATTTTCACAAGCTCTGCAAAGGCTTCCTCAAAATCCGGCTAACCGAATTTGGTTTTAATTTAGGTTCGTTCTTTAGTTTTCGTATTTCGTATTTCCCCCAGTTCTCAACTATTTACAAGCGTCTAGCGCCTCAGTCGCGGCTATATCTATGTACAGTGAATACTTATGAGCTACAGATGCTGAATCGAAGGACTCTTCTGTCCAGAATCTTCAGCTGTTGCGTGAGACCACGGTGACGGGTTTGATGAGGGGCTGTGGCGAGGGTCCGGGGGAATCCCCGCCGGGCGAATGGGGCGCCTGACCCACCGCCAGGTGTGGGTGGTGATGGGGATTGGGCGGTGGTTGGGACGCCGCCGATGCAGCCGCTACCGACAGTTGCCTTTGATGAGCCGCCAGTGCGGCGGCTGCCGCATGTTGGTGCAACAGCTGTTGGTACTGCAATCGCTGGTAGAGCTCACTGCTCGTGGGTGGTGCAACGAAGGGCGGCGGCGGGGGTCCCGGCGGTCCTTGAGGGCCCGGCGGTCCGGGCAGTCCCGGCAAGCCCGGTGGCAAGCCCGGATGTCCTGGTCCACCTTTCGGGGCAAAGGGATTGTAACGCTGGTACATGCTGGCCAGCAGACTGGGCGCCGTCGGGGGATAGGTGAGAAATTGGCCAAACTGGGGATAGGCAGCCAGTCCCGGGAACATGGGTCCTATCAGGGATCTCTTGAAGGCGGCCAGGCGGGAGCGTGAGGCGGCTGTGGTTCTCCTTCTCAGCTTCCCCGTCGATCCGCCGATGAATACATCTTCCGCCGAGGGATCCAACATCCAGTAGTTGCCCTTGCCGGGATCATCATAGTGTCGGGGCACCTTCACGAAGCACTTGTTCAGGCTCAGGTTGTGCCTTATGGAGTTCTGCCAGCCCTGTTTGTTGTCCCGGTAGTAGGGATGATTGGTCATGATGTACTCGTAGATGCCATTCAGAGTTAGACGCTTCTCGGAGCTCTGGCGAATGGCCATCATGATCAGGGCATTGTAGCTGTACGGTGGCTTTTCGTTGCCCTTTTTATCCTTCACCGGCTTGCCGTCGTTCGATTTATTTTCCGCATCGCCATCGGTTGTCTCACCATCACATTCGATGTCCTCCTCCACGAACTCCTCGTCGACTTCATCCGGATCGCTTTCGTTGGGATTCGCAGCGGGAGCCGGCGACATGGAGGTCACATCGAGATCCGATTCGGGATCACTTTCCGCCTCATGATCCTCCGACGAGCCCCAATTCGTGGGATTCAGGTTGTTATTATTATGGTTGGGCGGAAATTTTGCTGGCGACTTCTTCTCCACATCCTCGTCCTCATCATCGTCGTGATGCTCCACAGTCTCGGGTAGAATGGCGTTGATGGAAAAGCTGGACTTCAAATGGGGTGTCCTGGCCATTTTCATCAGATTGGTGAGATTCAGACCGACGGGATGGGAAGTTTGGAGCGCGGAATGGTGGGTGGGTGGCGGCAGTGGGTGGTGGTGGTGCTGAAAGTGGTGACTGTGGGCGCTGATCTCGCTGGACGGCAGACCTTCCTCGATCTTCACCATGATGTTTAGGTCAGATGGTTTAATAACTCCACATTGCCTACGACTTTCGTGGGTTATTTCAATTAGTTGGGATTTGAATTTGATTTAGCAAAGGATCATAGAGTTCTTTATGGTTTTGCCAGAACTTAAGACAGCCAGAATCTTAAATTCATTTTATTTGTTTTAATTAACTTCAAGTTGATTTATTTGGCCGTTTCCCATTCACTAGCTATTCAAATTGGCTCATTCGTTCAGTTCTCTCGCTTTACGTTCAGTTTTACCGACGCTCGACGATACAATACACAGCCCACAAAAATACACGATTTCACGTCCGTTGCTCTGGGGCTTTCAGTGTAGACTAAAAACGAGAATTCCCAATAATTCCCAATCGCAGTCGGTCCGGTTTTCTTTCTTCTGCTTCCAGCAGGGTCTTGGTGTTCAGAGGTGTTGTCGGGGGTGGTTCTCAAGCCGACCAATCGGCGCTGTGGAACGAATGAAAAGTCATCTCCCTCTCACTCAGCGCAGTTGCGAACTCTCTTTCCCGCTCAGATTTATTTTCCCATTCGTTTTACTAATTGCCGTCGACATGAAACACGAAAAACGCCGACGCCACGCCGCGCACACCAATGCACACAAAACACAGATACATACACACGCATTGCCACATATATAGCGGTACAGAGGTATATGGTCCACCCCATTCCTCATAGGAGTGGGTCACCCTTTTCCGGATTGTGGGTTGCATTTTGATACGCTAGGTCTTTCGTATACTTATTATTATTTTTTTTCCCCTTGCTCTTTTGAATCGGCAGCTGGTAATGTGTTTCTTGTTTTTACACACTGTTGCCATTATTAATTGTGTCCCGAACCGTTGTTGTTGTTATCGTTTCAGTTGCCATTTGCCCCCGTTAATTTTTCGGCGAGTTTGCAAACTTATAGATAGCGAAAGGGGGTTGCGATTCCGTTAGATACGAACAGAGATTTGTGGCTTCAGATTTTGGATTTATTCTCCCGTATAGCTACATTGAGATCATTTGTTACAACAGCTAAATTTAGCTGGAGGGAGTTTTATGATCTGTTCAGTTATAGGTATTACTTTTTTGGCAGCTGCAGACTATTAAGACTACTTAGAAAGGTTTTTTTATGATAGTGATACAGACGGTCTATATACATACGTATACATACATATGTACATAATATACATAGGTATATTCAATAAAAAAAACACAGTGGAAAGTGTTGCGATATACAATACACATGTGCTTCTCCCTTATTTTAGCAAATATCCCTAAATATTTTAGGGTAAATATGCATTCCAATTAAGTATAATTCACCATTTTAAAAGTGTCTCTGGCAAAGTTTTGAAAACTTTCGACCCAATAAAGTGCTGTTCTGCAGCCAAGCAAATCAAAAATAATCTGACAATTAAATGCAATTTGGTGCAATCAATTTCCACGAAGGAATTTTCCAGAAGGCCCGCAAATGTGGCAATGCAGCTGCTTGCATTCGCATGAGCCACGAAACACATGCCACAAATGCCCCATGGCCGTGTCCATACATATGTACCTCTATAGCGACCCCTCCCTAACCGAAGGGAACCGAACTCAAAATCGAAATCATTGCTGTAATCATAATAATTGTTTTCACAAATTGGGGGCGTGCACTCGTCGGTCGTGCGATTGGATCCCAAAAGACACACACGACCACGACTGTATCTCTCTAAAAGGTGAGGGGAAAACATGTTTTACCTGAGCGAAAACCATAAAAAAACAAAAGCCGAAGACCACGACGATGACGACGCCATGTTTGTATCGGTATCTCGTTTTGGGTGTATCTGTATCTTTGTATCTCCGTGTGTGTGGTCTCCACACGAGCTTGCGGTTGTGTGAGTGTGGCCACAACTTATTGGATAGCCGAGTGGAGACATGCGCTCTCTCAGTTGGAGAATGGGATATCCCCTCGGACCAAATAATCCCCCCATTCAATACAAAATGGCGCCCAACAGTCTTTCAATTGATTTTTCGTAGCCCCATTGTTTTCTCGGTATTTCAATTAAAGTATTTATCTTTGTATTTTCTGCGTTGGGTAATTGTTTTGGCTGCTTTGCATACTACACTGACAGCGTTTCGAATCTAAATGGATGGGCAACTTAATAATGGGGGATACCGAAGTATGGTAATGGTAATTATGGGTTTTCTTTGAAATTGTATGTTTGTTATAAATGCATAATAGAGATATTAGGAAGAAGGAAGACACTTTCTTATATTTTGTTTTATTATGTTATTATATTATGATGTGGTACGAATAATAACCGAGGGTGTCCTATTAAAAAATATTAAACGAGATGAGGGTGGTATTCAGTATGAATTATTTAATAGCAATGCACTGTGTACTTTGTTATGAACATGAATTGAATATTTGTACACAAATGCAATTGATCCCACACAAATTAGTAATGAGCATTATAATATTATTAATAGAGTAGACATTGACAGCCAGTTTCCTTTGACACCGGCGATCAATCATCCCACTCCCTTTGATTAAACAAATAAATAAAAAATGTTTATTTCTCGCCGATTTATCTTTCCGAAATGCCGTTTAAGAACTCAGAAGCTAAATGGCAGCCAAATCCTTTTCCAAAATATTCAAAGTATCAACAAATTCAAAACAAACAAACCGACCATAGAACCGACTTAGAACTTCCCGACAATCGGTAGTCCGGAAACTACAGAGTGTAATTGCCCCGGACAAACAAAAACCCATGAAAAACGACCCACGAAAAAAACCAACTTGTCATTGATCAAAACGCCGAAAAGGAGACATATTCATATGGTAGCACCAAAGGGGATTTATATTTCAGGATTTGGGATCGGATCTATGTATACACACCCATTTCGATTTTTTGGGGGCGAGAGTACTTTACTAATCAGCCAGATTTATAGCAGGCATTTAGTTTTGTTCCAGCGCGAGGTTTTTGATATTTTGGCCGAAATAAATCCGCGACGCTTAACCCTTTAGGGAATTCGGCGGTGCCCAACCCGTTCTTGGCCGTAAAGTTGCCACGCCCCGTGGCGAAACGCCTACGCGCAAGTCCTTCCGGGTATATGTACATGCCTTATTTTGATCAACTCAATGGCAGTTTAACCGCAGGATTAGCTTGTTTGTCCAACGGATCAGCGCGGTCCATGCAAACACGGCTCTTTGGCTACCTGCGAGATTGGTGCTCCTGAAGGGGTTAAGGATGGGATCGCGGGGTTTTAAAGGACAGCCCGTCGCTTCCGCTGTTTATATGGTCTGTTTACATGGTCGCAGTCGGCAATGGGAATCCTACAATGTCCTACCTACGCCCAAACACCCAGTGCCAGCTACCGTTTCGAAAGAGTTAAGCAAGGATTAGATCGATCCAGGCTCGGAACGAGGACTTAGCTTAGCGCGTATTAATCTCATTTCGTGGACCTCAAGCTGTGTCCTCCTCGATGTCCTTGCTTTGCTCGTATCCTAATCGCCGTCTCTTAGCCATGCAAATATTTTCAATTTGGCCCTTGGCTCGATTAAGGGGAAAGGGTTAAACCGGCTTGGTGACCGGCTGATTTCTGATTTCGTTTGAAGCTTCTTCGACAGTTGACAAAATAGGCTGCACTGCAAAAAATAACTCTTCCCAAGGAGTTTTGTGAATGAATGGCTTGAAACAAGAAACGCTGTGTGCTTATCTTTCTTTTAGTGTGCACTACTTTCATTGACTTTGTAATACAAAACATGTTACACATTTTAGAACATAGTTCACAGCGTTTAAAAGAGTTTTCCTCTCGCTTTTCGCTTTGACGCGTTTTCAAGGGGATTTTCCCGACGGGGAAAGGGCACGGACAAATTGGCCAAATTTTGTTGAAATCACGTTTACGGGTCTTTGGACAGTTCCGGGATTCGGACACACTTGTTACTTTTGTTGCTGTTGCTGTTGCTGTTATCGTGTGCCTCGTTTTGCAAATAAACAGCCAAATGAGTGTCCTAGAGGTTGCCTTGAGTACGGCGAAGGGTGAAATTGGGCCAGGGGTGTCCTTTTTTTGGGGGTTGCTCCATGGACCGTGGACACACTGGTCCGTGCTGCCCAGAGCATATGGTTTGCCCAAACATCGGGGTGATGAGCCGGAAACCAGGATTTCCGAAAGGGAAACATTCAGCACCGATGGTTGATAAGTGCGCTAAAGCAGCGAAAATGATTTGAAGGAATATCTGATGAATGTTATCTCTGTGAGATCATCTGAGGCTGGAGTCTGACCATCTGGTAAAGTACAGGATGAGCGGAACGGGCTTAAAACGAAGTTATAAAAAAAGGTTCAACAAGAATGTGTACATTTTTAAAATATGAACAATTACTAATACTAACTATTCCAAGTTAGATATTTATTTTAGATATTTTCTTAAAAATCTGCAATGTAGCGCAACAAGTCGGTCGACAAGCCCGGCAAAAAAGAATAAAAAGCCCAAATCTCACCCCCTCCCAGTGGCTAACACTTGATAATTGTTGACAATGTGTTATAAACTGATTTACACGCATTTAACGACAAAAAGAGAAACACTGCCAAAACTCACGCAGAGCCACCAGCAACACCAACACCAACAACATTAACAACCCACAAACGCAGACTAAATTGAGGCAGTGGCAACGCGACACTCGTCAGCGTCATCGTTAAGGGCAACCAAGCAACTAGCAGCCGTACACTGAGAAAAAAACAGATAACTTTAATTTCCTTCTGTTTAATAAACATGTACGTGAGAGCAGTGTGACCGCACCACCTCTTTCCGCTTAGGAGCGCAGTGTGCCCAAAAGAGATTAGTAAGCACAAAATAACAAGGGGATAAACTTTGCAATAAATATGAGTTCAATATTTGGAGTATAATTTTATCATAGCAAGTATGACTTGATTGCTTTTCCCTCAGTGTAGCAACACAAAGAGCAACAGCAGCCACCGCTTAGATGTCATCGTTAGCGCTGGTGGAAAGGTCAATGGGTGGGGGTGGTGTGGCCGTGGGCGGTGTGTGTGGGAGGGGGGAATGTCGCGTGTGCCACGCGAGGGTGGCACTCTCACTCACACACGCACTTATACGTTCCATATCGAGGGGAGCCGAACCCGGACCGTTTGCGGTATGGTGTTATATGGCGTGGTGCGATGTGTGTTAATGAACTGCGTAACAATTAACGGCAGCAACAACAAGCGTCAACAAGCAACCGCAGATCAAACAAATATAACTATTTTTTATACCGAAGCCTAAATTACTCTTGATAATATTTGAGGCTTATAACATTTAAATCAGAAAAAGAAACCATCTCATTTTAAAAACGTGCTTTGTGCAATTGTGTAGTCATAGATTTCTATAAATAGAGTTCCGGTAAATCAAAGATAGTAACTCA